TGTGTGTGTGTGTGTGGTGCTGCTGCTCACCCTCCCTCTCCGCCTGCCTGGTGGTGTGCTGGCAGGGCTCCAGCGCTCGCTCTCTGCGCTGGCCGTCTGCCAGCTCCCGTCCTGCTGCTGCTGCCGAGGCAGACACACAAACGCCGCCGCCACCGCCGCCGCCGCCCTCCTTCTCCTTCAGCTCCAGCTCCGAGAACCGCATCATTGCCCGCTGCGCGCACACACACACACAAAAAAAAATGCAGACAGGGGCCCATGAAAACCACTCATCATCGGCCCACGACGCGCGCACACACACATACACACACCTCTCTAAGCCTCAATCTGGCCTCAACAGCTACAGAAGCAAAATCAATTTAAATATTTATATATATATATAGATATATATATGCATCAGAAATCACATTGTCGTGAAATAAAAATAAAAAAAAAGAAAATGCCAAAGAAATTAAACCCACGCACACACACGCACACACGCACAAACACGCACAAGACAAAAAGGGAGACAGGTAAATCACAAGCATGGCATCAAGACACAGGTTAGACAACTGCAGCCACTGTGAGTCCATGCGCTCTGGGGCTTAAATCCTGGCATCTCCCTTCCTGAAACATAAACATGGCTAGGAAACATATACATCTAAGCCCTGAGGCAGAGAGAGGAGAGGAAGAAGAGGAAAGAGGGGAGCGGGGAAAGGAGTGTGCAGCGATACAAAAGGAGACAGAGCCCGTCAGAGGCAGATGTGATAAGAAATGTAAAGAACTGACCTCCCAGTTAGCTGCAGGTTGGCTTATATTACTCCCCTCTCGTGATATGACTTCCATCTAAGCAATTAGAATGGGGGGCTCAATATATCTGTCCAGCATTTCATCTTTCTTTTTAAATGAATTAACGTTTCTCCACATGTTTCTTTACACACAATAGGCAGCCACAAACCCACAAAATGACACAATCAAATTAAAGTGACTCAACAGGTCAAGTAACACTGCATCAAAGCTGCAAAGTCATTTCTGAACCGCGAGGGGGGGGGGACAAAATTTGGAAAAAGAAAATAAAGAGAAAAACAAACAAACAAAATAAATATGAAAGAAAACAATCGGCTTTGCGCCAGCCCTCATTAATTCATTTAGCATTTGTCGTCTGCACGCCCCTTTTTCCACACGTCCAGAAATGCAGTGCTGATAGCTTTGTTGCAGCTGTGCATCGACAAGCATGACACAGACAAATCCACATTTTCTAGAGTGCATTCACAACATGGACGGACATGTGCAACCCATTAAGATATCTGCCTCAGAGCCGGTTGTATATGTATCATAGAGTTTTCTTTGTATTCCTGAGCATTGAAAGTACGGAACCCAAGAGATAACAGCTCAAAGTGAGTAATTCAATCTGTGTGTATGAGTGACATTGGACGAGGGCCAAGCGTACGGGGATATTGCTGTAATTGTGCGTTTATAGAGGTCATGTGATGGATGTTAGGACACAGACTTTCAGCCAATGGAAAGGGGGACGATGGTGACCTTGCACAGCAACCAGGCAGGGCACCACGGGCCATCTGAGTGAGGTGAGTTGTTGGGGGGGGGGGGTGTACTGTGTGGAGGGTGTGGGCATGCAGCAAGCCTTAGAGGGACCCCCAAAAAGGGCAGCTGTTGGCTGTTAAGCGCACGGCGAGCCCCTCCACTGCCCCTAACCTTGGGGTTAAGCATAGCCAAAGGCAGTGTGAACTGGGAGGGCGTCACAGTCATGCTCCGAAGCCACTGTATGCGTCCGTATAGCACAGTCAGCACTAAAACATGCTTTCGCCCCCCCCGAGGCAGTCACACAAGGACAGGCACGTACAGACACACAAACACGCACGCACAGAAATAACCTTTACAACGGCTGCTGGCTAATCTACACACAGAGACGGCAGTCATGTTTAACCTTTGAACCGCCCACACCTGAGGAAAAAGGCCTAAACCTAAGACAATGATAAACTAAAGAGGAGGCCTAACCGCCCGCCAGGACAGTAGCATGACGCCTCTCGTGTGGTTTTTTTTTTTTTTTTGGGTTGCCCTACTGTGTTGTAAATGCAGAGTGTGCCAATTTCATGCAAGGTTTGTTCCAGAGGCGGCTCCGAATTTTTTCAGCAAAGAATAAAAGGCAGAGGCCTGTGAGGGGTTCGCTCCTGTGGAAGTTGCGAGTGTATGTCTGCGATGTCTGCACATGAAAAATTTGGGTCATAATGACGTCTCTAGAGCCCAATAACAAACTGATTGACTGTAAAAAAGACACACGGCTGTTAATGGACTTACCTGCAGCGCTCTCTGCTCGCGGCTCAGCTTGCTGGAGTCAGCGTACAGCTCGGTGGTGACGCACTTAAAGCGGTCGCCAACGTAGCCTGAGGAGTTAGCAATGCGCTTGGCCAGGCTGGATCTGCGGGCGCTTTTGGAGGAGGCCTGACCACCCTCCTCTTCATCCTCGTCCCCTTCGCCTTGAGACTCCCCGAGATCCACGATGCTGTCCTCCTTTTCGCTCTCCCGCTTGCAAGCCCTCTCCCGCTCGGACTCCTCCGCCAAGTCGGCGCGGTCCGGAGAGGAGCTGGGCGCTCGGGCCCCCTTGTCCTTACCAGAGCTGCGCTCCCCCGAGGTGCGGGCGCAGCGCAGGGTGCTCTGGTCCTCCTCGTCGGGGTCTGGGCCGGGGCTCTGTTCGTCCGAGCTGTCCTCTCCTTGCGACAGCTGCCCCGGAGAAGCCGGGGAGGCGCCGGACGCCGCCCCGGGCGGACAGGCGGACTCCTGGTGCGCCGCCGCTTTCCCAAAGGCGGCGTCGGGGTGTCCGTCGGCGTGGCTGGACTTCAAGTCTCCGGCGTGGACGGAATAGGGGTGGTGCTGGTGTTTTGGATCGTAGTCAGCCTTTGTCAGATTTTGGTTACTATGACATTCGCTTTGGTTAGCCTTGCAGCTAGCCTCAGAGGAGGGCCGCCTGTGGACCGTGGGACTAGACTCAACATCGGTGTCTGAGTGCACAAGGTCGATGCAGACTATCTTTTCTCTGGACGCTACGGCTGAAGACTGGTTTTTGCTTTGACTCCCGCCCTGTCCTTGAGCTCCTGCTTCTCTGTCCGCCTTTGTTTGGTTGCTTTCGCCAGTGTCTTTGCCGGCGCCGTGATCCCGGTGGCTCCCGCAATCCTCCGCCGGGCCCCTGGATTTCTCCTGGCCGCGAGGCTTCAGTGTCGTCTCTGCCCTGTCCGGCAACTTGTTGTCAGGGTGCGTCTGCATCAAGGGATGGGCCATCTCCTGCGAGTTGTAAGTGAGGTATTCCCCGGCTGGGAGGTTGTGGTAAGATAAAGGGTGTTTTGCCGCCAGGTGGGTTGGATAAAGGCTACTGTTGCCCAGCAGGACTGGGTGAGGATAGACGGGGCCCTTCCCTGAAATCGGCACCGAGTGTAGTGCCATGCCATCGGGGATGGGGTAGTGCAGGTATCGGTTGGCGTAAGCCAGACTGTGGTTCAGGTAAGCTTCACTTTGAGGAAGGTAGAGGTGGCTAGGGGGGTGGCCGTTTTCCAAACATGGTCTCTTGTAGGACGGCACCTCTGGAGCCGTCTCGCCTCTCTTAGTGGTCTGCGAGGACTTCTCCGGTGCCTCTCTGTGATGGTCGGACTGACTGGGGCTATGCTTGACCCATTCGCCACTGGGTTTGGGGGAATGAGTCCGGGAGTTGACCAGGGGGGAGCTCGAGTGCTGCGTGGAGGGAACGTTGTGATTAGGCTCTCCTATCCTCGGACAGGACGAGCTCCGTTGCTGGGGGTGAACCCGCTCTAAACCCTTGTTCTTAATGACGGAGGGGGAGGAACCCTTGGCCTGCGACAGGCCCAGCTCTGCCATTGGCCTCGGAGAGGGCGGCAAGCCTAGTGTGTGCTGTGTGTGAGAAGGAGACGGGCTTGGCACAACCCAGGAGGAGTGTAAAGTGCTGATCATTTCTGGCCTCTCGGAGACCTTTGAAGAAGTGCTGCAGACAACAGAATGAGGATGCGAGGAGGGAGAGAGGGATAGATTTTCCTTTAGCAGTTCCCGGCTGGGGGGAAGTCCATAACGAGCACCTGACGCAATAGCGTCCATCTTAACCGTAAATCCGTTGGCCGGCAGTCCCAGCTCCAGCATTCTCCCAGACAGATCCAGCGGCTTCTCTGCAGAGTCTTTGGTTGGTTGGGACGGCGGAGCCGGCCTCTCGAAATTGACTTTGGAAGGGGACCTGCTGCGTCCCTTTTCCGCCCCCGCACCCCTGTGCTCGGCGGCCCCGTCCCTCGGCCTGGCTTTGTGGGGGCTGGGCCGGGCCGGAGAAGGCTGTTCCGACGCCATGCCGCTGACAGAGAAGGGGTGCGGAATGGACTGCGTCGACGCCGAGGACGCGGATATCGAGGACGAGGAGGAGGTGGGCGGCTGCCCTATCCGGGCCACGGGCCTCTGCAAGTCCAGCGCCTTGTCGTGGAGGGGGGGCTGGGGGAGGCGGGAGGACGCGTGACAGTTATCAGCAGGCGCGCCGTTGTTATTTCCACTGGTGCTGGTACTACTGGCGTTATTGTTGTTGCTGGAGCCTTTCCTGGAGGGAGGTCTGCTCGGTCTAGTGCTTCTGCTGGGGGAGCGCTCCCTCTCGATGGCGGCCTGATGGTGCTGCTGATGGAGCTGCTGTGCAAATGAAGGCGCCACACCAAGTCCCTTGTCTTGGCAGTGTACCAACGATGTGGGGGCGACCGTGACGGCGGGAATCCTCATGGGAGGCGCCACCAGGGGAGAAGAGATGGGAGAGGGAGGGTAGGGGGGCATGTAATAGAGCCTCTCGGCAGCAGAGGCGGAGGTGACGCTCGCCCCCTGGGCCGCGCAAAGAGACGGGTACGCCAGATGCTGAGGGAGATACGGGTTGGGCTGGCTGAGCAAGGAGGCCTTGTACATGTTCAGGGCCGCGTACTTGGACGTGTCCATGAAAGGATACATGTTCGTTTCGGGGTAAGGGCTGAGCCACGGCATTCTCAGGTAGCTGGCCCCGCCACCAGCCAGGCCGAGTTCGGAGGCTTTTTCCCCCGGCCCCACTCGGCGCTCCAAGCCTAAACCATCAGCTCCGGGAACCAGCACCGGCTTGTGGAGACTTGGATGAGTACCCTTGTAGAGGCCCAAGTATCCATTTGCAGGCTTGCGACTGTCAAGAGGACCATCGGGCTTGAAAATGAGCTCAGGGAGACCGTCCCTGCCGTAAGTGAGAGGGAGGCCAGGTGTGTCTCGGCTCTTCTCTGCCGACAGCGTCCGGATCCCAGGGTACACGACCCCACCGTGGAGACGGAGGCCGTCGTGTATCAGCGTGCTTCGATCCAGCCCCATCGCGGCGAGGGGCGTTAACCTCGCATCCACCTGCAGGGAAACACGGATTTTAAAAAGAAGAAAGAAATTTCACAACAAAATGTTAGCACAGATTCTCAGTAGACGGCGTTTCAGATAGCATGTACGCAAAAGGAGACGTCCCCCACCCCCACGGGATGGCGTCTTATGACAATCTGTATTTAGAGCCAACATGGGGACTTGCCATGTTTTGTGTGATGTGGTTTCCTTGTCTCAGTTCCAGGTTAGTTTGTGCCTCAGCATCGACATCACGAACAGATGTTGCCCTGTGGAGATGAGCAAACAGTTAGCAGTTAGTGTCTTGGCTCCGTCAAACGCAAAACACACACACACACGCTTATAGATCCCCGCAGCTATGCTGCCACGCCGCCACCGCGAAAATTTTGACAGGACAAAATTGTCAGGTTCTAAAGCCTCCAAAAGAAACAACACAATATAATTAAGGGTTATACATACTTAAAAAACAAGGTCACCATGAAAAAAGGAAAAAAAACTCAATCGATATGGCCTCGCCGCTACGTAGAATTTCAATCAAGTGATGATTTTCGAGTGAAAAAAATAAGAGAGTAGGAGGTAGATACAAAAGGGGGGAAACACAATGGCAGCGTTTGCTGGAGCACTGTGTGGGCCCCTCTCTCATTCGTCACCACCCCCTCATCCTTCTCCCACCCCCTTCCCCTTTATCCCCCAAACTGCCCACCCTGTGGGCTTGACGAGCACAGCGGGGCCGCGTCTATTCAGTCACGTTCCTCACACACTGGTTTTTCTTTGCCCTCTCTGACCTGCTCTCTCGGCTGCCTCAGCCAGCAGAGCGAGGGAAGATTATGCATCACAGACCACTTCGGTGGGAGACCATTTACCACCCGCCAACACAGAGCCACAGATCAACAACGCGCTCACACCAGAACGCGCACTCCAAAAGCAGAGGGTCCAGGAAAGGGGACGGCAGGCTCGGAAAAATTGATAATGCCATTAAAAACCGGGGTTGGAAATCAAAAGCAGGTTTTCGAAAAACAACAACAGGAGGAGACGGGGAGTCTTTGAAGCCGGTGAAAAGTGGCGTGGGTATTGGCGATAGAGGGAAAAGGCATCAGGATCCCTTTTTGTGTGCGTTTACACAGGTTTTTCCCATCTGGCAACGTCTATTGAAGAACTTATTCAACTATTTTACGCTCCACCTGCACTTGTTCAC